TTTTAGGTTCGCCACCTGACATGGCTTTCTTAAACTCCTCAAACATCCAAATAAACGACTCAGTCGTTTCCTTGCTAAAAAATGTGCATGCTAGGACAATTGTTTGACCATGGTTATTAACTCCCAACATTGGTGCAAATGTCAAGTCGTATCTATTCGTGTTGAATGTGGTATCGAATACAACAACATCTCCATAAAACCCATACGCCCGTCTAGAAGTTGCATCTGCCCGAAAACATCGACTAAACCTGTTATCGCCATCTCCCTCAATCTTGAAATAAAAAGCCTCATTTTTTTTCTATTCAGCCATAAAATACTCGGTCACTAGTTCAACATCGTGGTTCCTCAGCTTCCCATTCACACTACATTCAAGATTGTCGATATCATTTTTTATAAAACCGATTTTATCCATTCCTCCGGATTGCACCTCGAAAATACTTACCTTCTGATTAATGAGAATATTAACTGAACCCAACTGTTTTGTGAGTACTTTTGTAGAATCTGAAATACGACGGTGTGATCTCAGTAAATGCATTCTTCCTGAGGGTGTCATCTTATGATTGTGTCCCTCTGCAAAAAGAGAGATGGTATACTTCTTGCTCCCATGTGTCTTCACAACCACAATCTTAGCTTTGCAATTGCATCTACTCGCTGTCTGTTGCTCCCCCAAGTTTCATCACTCCGGTAGACACCTTGTTTGCAACATACAAATTCTTTTCTCAGAATCTCTTTCTTATTTTGCCCCCAAAAGCTAGAATGAAGTCGAATACCAAAGTCAGCCAAGAATGCATATCTATTATAGAACTTATAAACGAGGTCAAGCGAGTCGAACTTCACCCCAATTGCTGGTGTTTCCTCATTTCTTACTTCAGGAATGTAAACTCTCCCATTAGCTGTTACAGAGTCATCACTCTCTGAGCCCCCAGACATTTTATCCACGTATATTATTGATCTACTTCTATATTACTGCATAGCAAATGTTAATTCATTAATCAATCATTACTGCATCACAACTTATCAATGCATTCCACTTACACAAAACATTGCCCAAATTGACACAATACACGCATAGCCTAGCTTGTTGGATTCTGATTACACAAAACACAAGCAAAATTTAATAATAGTTACGTCATCTCTTGTGAAATAATCTGGAAAAAATAACATTAGAACCAACATGTTCAACTAAGAACTCAAATGTAATTCAAACCAGCAATTACAGAACTTCACCCAATATCCTCTCCAAATGCTTACTTCTAATGCCATTAAGCCTAAGTTTAGGATCTTTTACCTACATTTCATAAATTTCCAATCCCCCTCCAAACAAAAATAATCAACTAAGTATATTGAATATTCATAAGGAAATGACGCATTATTGATAGCAGAGCAAATGACGCATTATTGATGCCACAAATGACAAATTTCTCACCCTCACAAAAAACAAATCAAACCCAACAAAATCAATCCAGCAAGAGTGAATTTACCTCTCAAAGTCAATCGGGAGCTCCGAAGTCAGTCAGCTTGAAAGAATGTGGTGGACATTAGAGATGATTCTTTCGTAGTGGAGACTCCATCTCTACCAAAATCGAGGAACAACTGCAGCAGCACGAAAAAGAGATATGCTACTTTGCTTTCATCTGGAATCTCTTCTGCTGAACGAAAAAGAGAAGGGGTTTTCACTTGAATCATAGAATCAAAACAGGGCAATAGCTAGGTAAAAGCCATTAATCGTCATACCGAGGATACCATAGATCGCAGGCCTCCCAAGGAGCTGATGACAATGGAGCGATTATAGAGTTTGGGAGCTTTGGATCTTTCGAATTGTGGATTTGCATTACATTAAAAAAGAGAGGATTGTGTTCTTGAGTTTTTCACAGAGAGGGGAAAATCTTCTGCTGAAGTTGGGTTTCCAAACGGGTCAGATTTCAACCCGGTTCTATATCTCTTTTAAAAACTCACCGTCGGATGAAATCCAATGGCTTTTACATACCCCTCAAAAAAACCCCTTATAACTTTCCACTCACTATAGAAAGCACTCAAAATGCTAACCCATTAGTGAAACAAAACAGGCTTAGGCACTAGCCCGTTACTGTTACACCTTGCGGCACCTAACATCGTCTTCTTCACGAGTTGATGGGATAGCCGCCTCTTCTTCGCAGAGCAACTGGAGATACGCAGCAGCTGCAAGCGCAAGTAAGTTCTTTAATTCTTTCTTCTTCCTCCTTCTCCTTCTTCCTTCCTGTCATTTTCTATTCCAATTGTATTATTAATATCACCATTCTCTGTAATCATATAGGAAACATAAGACATCTCTGAATAGCCATCTTTATACTTTAATGGGGGACTGGTACAAGCCATGGTTGCAAAACTATTGTGATATTGTCTCTTCCGTTTTCACATCAAATTTCAATTTTTGGGTTCAGTTCTATTTTTCCAAGGGTTAGCTTTGTTATGAAATTTAACCATTTGCAACTTGCATGCCAAGACCATTGAAGTCTTGTGCTGCTACCTAAGCACCCAAGTAGTCTCCTAGGCAAGAACAAAATTTATGTTTCATATGATTGTTTGTTAAAGCTGCCTGTCATGCACTTTTGAGTACAATTCCATAAAACAACTAATTGTTGAAAATGTCTCTTTAAAATATTAAGTTGTATGGCGTGCATTTTTTTAATGGATAATCTGTAACAGTGAGTTCAATACAATGACTTACTTGTTTATATATGATTTCCCTTAATTAGGTAGCTTTATCTGCATCTAGAGAACATTAGGATATCATGCACCAATATATCCAGTTGGATATTCCTATATTCTTATATGATTAAGTTGCAGTTGTAGTTTAAATCTTGGTTTTCCTCTAGTGCTCTGAGCCCCTCTGTTTTTGTCTGTATGTTCAATTTCAGAGCTTAAGCTTCGGCTCCAATGGCAGCCTTCGACCATATCAAGGACATGTACGATGTTGCTCTAAAGCCTCGTCTGTTGCACACGCTCATTAGAGACCATGTCCCCGACAATAAGCACCCTTTCGGGAGCCCATTGGATCTGTCGAAGGTAGTGTACACAATCAAAACTCACAACCTCCTTCTCGAGTCTGTACAAGATCCGACTTTTCAAAAGCTAATCAATAATTGGAGATCCACCATTGATTCCTGTGTCAACCACTTGATGGAGCTCATTGTCAATGACATTGTATGTACCAATTAATTTTTGACAAATTCTATTTATTTAAAGTCACTTGTTTTAGTTTTTTATTTTTGATAAATTTGATTTTCTTGAGTTTATTGAAACTTGGGTTTAGTTTTTAGTGTCACTTTGAGGAAGCCAAACCAGTAAAGTTGTTCTAGGATGAGTCATCTTTTATAATTAACAGTCATGACTTGAGGCGTAATTAATAGTTTTACTTTTACACAATGTCAGGGTGAGGGAGAAAAAGACACTATCTGTTTGATTTCTACCAAGAGTTTTGCTTTGCCTTCCTTTTGAATTCATTTTATCATATTCTTCTGTTCTAGCCAGATAAATGTTGGGCGGGAATTTGTTTGCTGGGGGTGACTTGTCAGGAATGCAGCTACGAGCGTTTCTTAGAATCATACTCTGGTTGGTTCCAGAAGCATCTACCACATATTCAGGTAGCCAAATGAATGTTTGTTTAAATAATGATAATTATGTTATGGTTAAACTGTTGCTTCTTAAAATAATAATAATAAAATTTAAGGACACTCTCTAAAATCACTGCCTTGCCAACTGTGATTTTGATTCCACAAGCACCAGAGTACCTAGGTTCAATTCATTAAAAAAAAAAAAAAAAAAAACTACAACGGGCTTGTAGTTCGAGTGGTTAAGAGCATTTCCTTGCACCTGAGGCCTAGGTTCGATTCCCCACTTCCCCCTCCCCCAGTATTGCTTGTATGTATATATAAAAAAAAAAGGGATTTTCCTTTATGTAATAAAGGATAAAGATAAAGAGAAGCCATGTATACATTAAATAAATCCTAATATCCTAATGATCTTCCAGGAACCCTTATGTCTGGGCTCTAAAGCTTAGAATTGAATCTCATTATATTTAGTTGGGATAATCCCATATGTTATATTAGATGTTTTGAGAATTCTCCCCAAGCATTTCATTATGTGCACCCTGGTTGGATCACATGGATCCTTTGTTGTGATTTGTTTTTGTAGTCTTGGAATAGCTCAGACTGCAGTTGTGTAGGTTCTGATGCTGCCTTCTGGTTTCTTCATCTTTTGAACTTCTGGTTTTGTTGTGAATAAAGTTGACTTGTATGGTAAACTCTCTGCACCACCCCCTTTTTATTTTGAATAATCTCTGAAATTAACTTTAATGCTGCATTTCTTTTCCAAACAGCCTACGGAAATTTCTCAATTTGTGAAGGTGGCCTCTTGTGCTTCAATGTCAGATCTCATCTCAAGGTTGTATATCATATAAATGTAAATGTTCGCCTCACACAAAGACACAGTAGGGCACAGTAGTACATGAAATTGTTTGATTATACATTGTAGTCAGATCCCTAGGTCTGAATCAAGTACCCTCTCTCTCTCTCTCTCTCTCTCTCTCTCTCTCTCTCTCTCTCTCTCTCTCTCTCATGCACAAACTGATGAATTGCTTAAATTTTTGGAGTCATATATGTTGTCTTGCTCGTTAATACCAAACTAATTTTTGACAATGATAATTGATATTATTTGTACTGGAATTTGTTATCATCGTTGTTTATCTATATTATTTGAAGTCTATATGGGTTAGTAGCCGAAATTTTCATTGGGAGTCGTCTATGTCATCTTGCTCTTAAAAAACCAAATTAATAATGATAATTGGCATTAATAATTTCTACTGGAATTTGTAATCCTCATTGTTGATCTATAGTTTGTGAAGGGTATGTAGGTTAATAACGGTGCTAGGTCCTCAGTTGTGAAGCTTACTTTTTTTTAGGTTCGGTGGATCTGCTAATGTGAAAAGGGATGGAGCTGCCCATGCTGGGAAGCTCATTCAGCAAGGCATTCAACCAGTTTTATAATTATTAGATGATGATCATTCAGAGGTTGTTTGGGTAAGTTGCTTAATCTTTTCTTTAAATAATATATGACTAATTCACTCTTTTATTTAGCGGCTAAAGAATTGCACTTTTTCTTTTCTTTCTGTGGACAAATTTTTAATGAATTTGCGTTTGATTATGAAATGGAGTTGTTTACCCATTAATATTTTAGATTTGAGCCTGTTGAAGGCTAAGTAAAATTCCCCATTGATCTTTTAACCATTAATGGTCTTTAGATCAACTTTCTTGCATGTTAGCAATTAAAACCCTAACAGACTTGAATAATTTAAAATACTTGCGCCTGAAATATTTGACTTTAAACAAATGATTGTGATTTTAGGTGGGGAAACTTCCCAAGAAAGTCATTTTCTATGTCTCAGATTGGTGAAGACTTCACAATTTATCTAAATAAAACCAGTGAGTACAATGAAATACAAGTGTTTGAAAATAAAGACAACTGAGTTCAAGGAGAACTACTTGAAATATAGTAAATTAAAGGAATTGCCAAGTCTGGAAAGACATCAGAACATTGGACTTTGATTTCTGCTTGAAAAGCCATTACAGAGACGTCTGTTGGTTAGGTTGGATTGGACGTATTGGTATTGTTCTACGCTATACTGGATTGTACTAAACTGATAGTACCTTCAACTAACTGTAGTTTAGCTGGAAATTGATACCTACGACCGTGTATGGGTAGAGCTTTCTTCAGGTTAGAGCCAAAAGTGGCTGGGATCATGAGCTGGAATTCTTAGCAGAATAATAAGGATAGTTTTGGAGGTTCTTGGCACCTTTGCTGGCTTTGCTTATGTATTCGAAGGCTTGAGTGATTTGTTTAAATCATTGAACTTGATCAGTTTGACTGAGTAGTTTTTGTATTTGATTTGTTTGGTTGGGGGTTGGTTGTCCTGTGGTCTGTTGAGTGAAAGCCAAAAAATCGAAACCGAACCAAACCAAACCACCAAGTCCGGTTAACCGAAGTGGTCAGTTTTCATCAATTATGGTATGGTTTTAGTTTTCAAAATAGCCAAATCGAAGCCTACGGTTCGGTGTTTGGGTTGAGCCCAAAATCGAACTAACCCAAACCGAGTCCAGACCTAGTTTGTACAATTGCTTTTGCATGAGCTGAAAGTCACGTGCAATCATCCAATCAAGAGAGTAAACAATATTTGTTTATTGAAAGAACCAAGTGGATGGCTAGTCAAGGGGAGGATTTAAACAAGAATTAAAACACTACCAACGACAAGGACTGAATAGACAAGAAGTAGTATTATCTTTTGGTTTCTTTATTATAAAAGAATGTGGGTGCATCATCCAAGTGGAGAAATAATGATAGTTGGCTCACCAAAATATCAAGAAGGCAGCAAAGATGGATTTGCATGCAATTCCTTGAAGATGGCAGCTGTCAGTTTTGGTTGTCTTCAAACCTCTATAAATATAGAAGGCTCCCAACGGACCCAAAGACCACCAAAGCCCAACCAAACAAATAAAGTACAAAAACTACTCAGTCAAACTGATCAAGTTCAATGATTTAAACAAATCATTCAAGCCTTTGAATATAGAAGCAAAGCCAGCAAAGGTGCCAAGGACCTCCAAAGCTATCGTTAGGATTCTGCTCAGAATTCCAACTCATGATCCCAACCACTTTTGGCTCCAACCTGAAGAAAGCTTTGCCAATACACAATCTTTGGTTTGATTTCTAGCTAAACTCCAGTTAGTTGAAGGTACTATCGATTTAGTACAATCTAGTCCAGCCTGGAATAATACCAATATGTCCAGTTTGGAATAGTACCAATATGTCCAGTCTAGCCTAACCAAAAAACGTTTTTGCAATGGCGTTTCAGGCAGACATCAAAGTCCAATTTTTTGATGTCTTTCCAGACTTGGCAGTTCCTTTAATTTACTGTATTTCAAGCAGTTCTCCTTGAACTTGTTTGTTTTTATTTCAAACACATGTATTTTATCGTACTCACCAGTTTTATTTAGATAAATTGTGAAGTCTGAAGCATAGAAAATGACTTGGCACCTTTGCTGGCTTTACTTATGTATTCGAAGGCTTGAATGTTTTGTTTACATCATTGAACTTGATTAGTTTGATTGAGTAGTTTTTGTATTTTATTTGTTTGGTTGTCCTTTGGTTCGTTGGGAGCCTTCTATAGAGGTTTGAAGGCAACCAAAACTGACAACTACCATCTTCAAGGAATCTCACTTCAATCCCATCTCTGTTGCCTTGATATTTTGGTGCACCAGCTATCATTATTTCTCCACTTGGATGATGCACCCATATTCTTTTATGATAAAGAACTAAAAGATAATACTTCTTCTTTTATGTTTAGTTCTTGTCGCTGATAGTGTTCTAATTTTTATTCGCTTCCTCCTCTTGGCTGGCCATCCACTTGGTTTTTTCAATAAATAAATATTCTTTACTCTATTGATTGGATGATTGCGTGTGGCTTTCGGTTCATGCAAAAGCAATGGTACAAATGACTTCATGTGCTTTCTTCATAATCAACCGCGCACATCCATCTTTAGGGGACCAGTGTGCATACAGGCCCATATAGCCTACCGAAGGTAAGACACTTATGGGAATCCCTAAATACTGATGGCATCATCATGAACTCAGCTATCAAAGACACCTTCCTCCGATGCGAGAATTGCATGTTGAAACTCTTGACACTTCACCATCATAATAATTTGCACAAAGTCCCACATCGAAACTTAGTGCAAATTCCCACTTTCATTTCTCTATAAAAAAGGAATAATGCCCAAAGTAGAAAAGTAACTACTTTTCACCTTCACTGTCACTCTGCCAAAATTACCAACCCTACTCTTGTTGACTTAAGCATCAGAGAGTCTTTGGCTGACACCACATCGATGCTCAAAGCTTGATGATTGTTTCTTCTATCCTACTTTTGTAGGTCTCTTCCCTTACCGAATGTCCACTCCTTCCAACCCCCTACTGACGACTCCGCACTTCACCTATCTAAGTTGAAGAATTTCATAGTAATAGTAATAGAAATACATGTCCTACATAGACAGAATTTGTAACTTGCTATTCTCTTGCGTAGCAGGCAAACATTTACCTTTGTGGAAAGGATAATTCATTCGGATCGACATGAGAGTCCAACTACATTGCATTGCCAAAATCCATGTTGTATATTTGAAAGAGGTTAGACCCCCTTGCTCCAATTTTGGACATCAACATTTTGGCGCCGTCTGTGGGAATAGATTTGAATCTCGCATCTCTACAGTCCTATTGGCTCCTTCGTCTATCAAACCCCGTCGTCTCTTCAGTCCATCACACTCCGTCATTCTGAGTGAAGCTAGCCTTGGCACTCAGCATCACACCTCCATGTGGAATCCTCCAGAAGGAAACGTTCAATTGATGCGCATATTTAGGCTGAAGTGGTGCGACTTCGTGCTGATGTTGCCAAAATGACGGAGAACTACGACCACCTCCGCCTAAAAAATGTCGAGTTGGAACATGACTGCCGAACCTTGAAGCGTAATTGGGAGAACACTCACCACTAGTTAGCCTAGCACGATGTTACCCAAGGTGTTGAGCATACCTTGTTGAATCAACTAGACATCTCCTTTCATAGCACCCCAACGTGGCCTAGGCTTGACGAAGGAAAAGGCCATATTCATCATAAAACAACTAAGTCACGACCTTTCTGTTAAATAACTCACCTTCTAGATCTTGTTCTTTGATGTAACCAACGGCAATAAACTAAACTAGCAAATATTAAAACACTTAGAAACACACAAGAATTATACTGGTTCGGCAGAACTTTTGCCTACGTCCAGTTGTGATTTCTCTAGGTAGAGAAATCACCGCTCATTTGATTAATAATAGAGATTACAGAACTTTTGCAACCCTAGAACTAATCTCAAAACTCTTGGCTGTCTCTGGCTATTTTTCCTCTCCTTAAAATAAGCCTTGCCACACCCTATTTATAGATATAGAGTTGGCTTACATGTCCCAAGGCTGATTGGATTCCTATTCCTAAGTAGATTAGGAAATTACACTTATCCAAATCCTAATAGACTTCTAGAAATCCAAACCTGAATTGAATAAGGAAAACTGAAATTCTTTCCTAATCCCTCTAGGACAAGAATTGGTATACCTCTAATTTTCCTAAAACAATCCTAAACCACCTAGGACATATTTGACGAGCCAAAATCCTAACAATCTCCACCTTGGTGAGTCAAACCAAGTCTTGATCGTTGCACCCCAGAGTATCTTTGAACCTCCTTGAAGCAGCTCTGGAAATCTTCAAGAGTCTTCACCTTG